AAGTGCTCAATTGAAGTGTCTTCGTGAACGTCGTTAATATCGGCAAATGGGAAGGCATGACACGTTGTTTACTTGATGGGAGCAAAGCTGTAACTTGGATATTCTAAGATAGAAGATACTCATGTTCCGAACTAGCATCCTCAAAGTCATGCAGAAGTGCTATGACTTGGTAAGGACTGAACTTGTAAAAGACGGATGCAAACCAAGCGATGTCGAAAAAAACTGAATCAGAGACATATCGAAATGGAAGAGCAACGACGATAGAGAGAGGCGTCATAAGACAACGGTAGTGCGAGCAAATGTCCCTTAACAGGTCAATTTCTAGAAGCGAAGAACGTAGAGATGCCATGTTCAGCGCCTTGTCTTCGGCAAGCAATCCTGACTGCAGGGCTTGAATAACTTGGGCCCTCGACTGCTCTGAACCAGGAGGGCATGCCAGAAGCAAGCTGATGCAGACATTCCGAAGATAACCAGGTGGTCCAAAAGAAACTGGTAAAGTCATGGCGCGCTGGTAGAGCCACTCATGGCGATTCAATAGGGAAAGAGATGCCATGGTTGTCGAAGGTGCGTCTTCCCGCTGCACTGATAACGTTAGTCTGTTTATATGCAACACCTAGGTGTGTTGAGTGCTTTGTTTGACTTTTCGAACTTGGACAAAGGCGTGACTATCAAATCATTGTATAGATTAAACAATGGGATATTATTGCCAAACATCATTCTAAGAATTCTAACATTTTTGCAAAACATCATTTTTAGAGCAGTGTGCGCTGGTTTCACGATTAATCGTGATCGCATGTACAGATGTGGATTTGTAATGATCGATTGGTCTATAAAGGGTATTATATTATTAGGCTGATGCTGCACATCTAATTTGGCTATGTCGAGAGGTGCATGGAATTTGCTTCTTTGTATCTTGATTGGTCTGTAATGATTGATTGATCTATAAACGATATTGTATTATTAGGCTGATGCAGTACATATAATTTGGATATGTCGAGAGGTGTATTGAATTTGCTGCTTTTCAGCTTGATTGGTCTATAAAGATCAATCCATTATAGTATGATGGAGCACCTGTAAATACACTATGCCGAGAAGTGCATTGAATCTTTATGGATTGTTTGGTCTATAAAAATGAATCTCTTTTTGGTCTGATACACCACATATATGTTAACAATTCCGAGGGGTGTAACGAATTTGTAAGATTTGGGTCATGAAACTTAGGACTGTCACTTAGAGAAGAGTGAAGTCGGACGGCGCCTTTTCTTCCGTACATAGGAGTTGTGGTACGTCCACTTGAGCGGCTTTTGTCACACCCGATGGGTCTGTTCAGTCCTCTTTTTTATAATATTCCATGTTCGCGGTACAGATAGGCAATTGTTTGATACGTACAAGTGCTCGTTTTGCAGTACACACTAATCCCCTGCAATAGTCCGCCTTGAGATTGAGAATAGAGCCAAGCTTAGTGAGCGTCTGTTTTCGACAGTTTGTTTATTTGCTCACTGCACAGTGGGAACAGCAATGTTGTTGTCGTTGCAGAGTGAACATCATTCTACAACTGTTTTTCATTGTTGCACCCCGACTGTTGTGGATACACTGAATTGTTTTCGTAGTTACGTGTTGTACTTACTGCTCGTTCGATGGTCAAGGGAGTCGGCGGGCTATACCCCAGCCCCTGACCATATGGACGCCAGGGCCCATTTTAATGAACGACAAAGACACTCTGAGCCCACCATACAAAAACAACCAGACCCTTTCCTTCCATGCAACTATTGCCTGATGGGATCTGAACTTGTACAACGTGATTGAACATTAGGGGCATAGAAGCAAGTTCTCAATGGAAATCGATTTTTATGAACGGCTATTGTGGTTTCCTGTGCGTCCGAGAGGATGATCAAGCTCGGGAACTGCATATTCCAACTCCGAGTCTACATCTTCAAAGTCGTGGAGAAGTTCAAGGATTTGGGATGGATTGAAACCGAAGAACGTCGCTGCAAACCACGCAATGTTGTCTAACATCGGTACATAGAAAAACCTTGACGGAAGGGCCACGATGACATAAAGAGGCGTCAGAAAGCACTTGTAGTGACTGCAAATGTCGCGGAGAACGTCGATTTCTCTCTTGGACTGGAGAAGCGAAGTTGTAGTGAGTGCTTCTTCGGCAGGAAGCATTCCGTGACGAATGGCTTGAATGAACTCCTGTCTTGGCATCTCGGCCCCAGGAGGGCTGGAAATCAAGGCCGTCCTGCACAGGCGCCTTAAGTGGGTGGCATGTCCCGGGAACGATTCAAGAGCAGTGGCGCGCTCATAAAGCGACCAAAACCAGTTCGTTCGAGCTTGAGAAGACATGACTTGCTGATACGAAGATTTGGTATTGCACTTCAACTTTCGGTCCATCTTATAGGAAAACTTCTGCATATCAGGCCAACTTCTCAACTCACGTCCCATGGTCCATAATCATTCCGTATCTAAAACATTGTAACAATACTGCCACGAAACATTGTAATATCACTGCCAAACCCCTTTTTCAAAACAAGGAAGGCTGCTTTCAGGTTCCTCAAACTGGCATGAGGGCGTGAATGTAAAATAATTGTATACATTAAACAATGGGACATTATTTGCCAAACATCATTCTAAGAATTCTAACATTTTTGCAAAACATCATTTTTAGAGCAGTGTGCGCTGGTTTCATGATTAAGCGTTATCGCATGTACAGATGTGGATTTGTAATGATCGATTGGCCTATAAAGGGTATTATATTATTAGTCTGATGCAGCACATATAATTTGGCTATGTGGAGAGGTGCATGGAATTTGCTTCTTTGTATCTTGATTGGTCTGTAATGATTGATTGATCTATAAACGATATTGTATTATTTGGCTGATGCAGTACATATAATTTGGATATGTCGAGAGGTGTATTGAATTTGCAGCTTTATATCTTGATGGTTCTATAAATATCAATCCATTGATCCCTGGATCATAGATCTGAGGGAAGCAAAAGTACTACTGTACTGGACAACCGTGCAGTGAATGATTGACTATGACGTCATGCGCCGTAGTCTACAGGGCATGACATAAATTTAGTAATCACGTTTCTACACACTGCGGGATGACGGGTGGGGTTAAAATAGAATATGAAAATATATGTCCGAAATCAAATGCGTACAGTATTTGTTCGTGTATTTAGAATATTTCCTTTGCTAACCATGACGATGACGTCATACTCTGCAGCAAGTTGACACAAGATGGTTTCTAACTCTCGTAATAGGGTGAAGAGGAATGCAAATGATGGTCACTACAGTAGTAGCGCGTAGCAGTTTCCGAAACCGTGACTGTATTGCTGAACGGAACTAAAATAGAATGCACGACTACAGTATACAGTACTGGCGAATGGGGTAGAGAGCTGCAGTTGTGCGCTGAAAGTGGGTGTGCGTCCCCCTCTCCCCCTTCCCCCCCCCCTTGCCGTACAGTAGATGTCTGCTGTAAAAATGTACAGATGGTGTTTCTATATGAATAAAGGGGCCAATCACTGCTGACCGTGACCAAGTGCCAGGTAGAAAGGACCTGAGCAGCCGCAGATCCCTTCCCCTCTCTTCACAAGGTAACACGCAAACCATCTCGCGCTGTTCAGAGTCTGAACAACGCGAGATGGTTTAGGGGCGGAAGTTGCGACCAGTGCAGACGGTGCTATTGCAGAAAATATTTCCACATTATTTAACCTTTTTAAGTACTGTGCAGTACAGCGTGCCGTACAAGAGACCATAGGGCCTCAGCCCACTTCAGCGTCGCTATCGACAATTTCTTCGTGGCACGGTGTCTCTAGATAGTTACTTTTCCCCGTCGCAGCCGGAGCTGGTGTCGCTGAGGCCGATAGCTTTCCGAGCCTTTTTAGAATACAGGGGGTAAAGGCTTTCATGATATTGGACCAAAGTCCCAGGTCGGCATCATCTACCAAAGTGAAAAAATGAGGGCAATGTACAACCGCTTCTCTTTTCAAAATGTCGAAAACATCCATGGTCATTGTCTTGCGCCCTGGCTCTGGCCCTCGCCTTTGCCCTCCCCCAATTCTAAACTAACCTTGGAATCATTTCCTTGTTCCGTGCCCCTCCCTGTCCCAACCCCTCCCGCCCTCGCCCTCTGGCCCTTTCGCACTCTCCCTCTTTTTCCCTTTCCACTGTGAAGAGTCATTTGGGGGTGCTTAAAGCATTGTGGGTCTGTTCTACATTAATAATACCAGACCTCAAGTCCACGTGTAAGACAAGTGAGATACTGTACGTGCAAGTGTGTACGGTGCACAGTGAGAGGATAGGATTTTCTTCAGAGACCCCGCACCGTGCCCAATCAGACCCTCACAACGGATACGCGGCCTTTCCTTCACAGCTACACGCAGGGAAATAGATGCCGCCGGATCCTCCCCTTTTATCTATGATTCTACCCCCGCCCTTTCGATCCGGCTCCGTCTACAGTATTTCAAGCCTTCTTCCTTCAAACAAAGTCTAACGTTCAGAGCAGCACAGGGAAGCATGACAAAAGGGAAGGCCTTGCGGTTATTAAATATTGAGACATCACACAATGATTACGCAGCCCACAGACGCCCATGACCTCGGGCGGCGAATTTCTTTTTGAGGATGGCTGTCGCGGGGACAGCTCCACATCATCCTCACCATTCAGATCACTTCAGCAAGCCTCTACAGTACAGTACATGTACATACGCCTCATATTCTACGTACAGCAAGTTCGAAAAACCAGATGACTGCTTACGCATCCCGCTACGAGGGCAAACTGATGCGTCTTGGTGTTCATTCTTCGTCGGTCGCTTCATTCAACTGGTTCTTAACCAGGTTCGCATACTCTCCATTCGGAATGCGCAGCAGCTGTTCATGTTTTCCGCTTTCCACAATCCGACCCTTTGACACCATCGCTATCACATCGGCGTTCTTCACTGTAGACAACCGATGCGCGATGGCCACCGTCGTGCGTTCTGCTGCTGCCTTGTCCAACGCGTCTTGTACAACTCGCTCCGACACCGCATCGAGTGCAGAAGTTGCTTCGTCCAGTAGAAGGATTCGGGGCTCTCGCACAAGCGCTCGAGCGATTGCCACGCGCTGCCGTTGCCCGCCTGAAAGTCTTTCCCCCCGTGCGCCAACCACAGTGTCATATCCGTCTTCCAGTTCTGAAATGAATGAGTGAGCATTGGCAGCCTTCGCAGCTGCTATGATCGTGTCATCTGTCACCGGAGTCCCATCAGAGTGGTCCAGCCTGTAGGCAATATTGTCCCGTATACTCCTATTGAAAAGATCAGGCTCTTGGGAAACAAGACCCAAGTTGAATCGCAGGTGATTCAGGTTGTACTCTCGGATTTCAGTATCATCAATTCGAATAGTCCCTTCGCGAGGATCGTAAAATCGCTCCAAAAGGGCAATAGTCGTAGATTTTCCACATTCACTAGCTCCAACCAATGCTAACGTTTGGCCCTGAGATACTTCAATGGATGCCCCTCGAAGAACGTGAACGTCCGGACGCGACGGATACTCAAATCGCAACCCTTCTGCCGCCAGATGACCGGAAAATGAAGACACCTCTCCAGTCTTCTTACTTGGGTCAATGCCCGATTCACGATCCAAAAGGCGGAAGATTTTGGTAGCAGCAATTTTCGCCTTGCTCACATCACTGGCTTGACCACTGGCATTTCCAAGCATCATCCCGGCGAAGAGAAGTCCCGTGATCGCCGTCATAAGCTCGGGAAAATCGCAAAATCCATCGCGGACAAAGATCGAGCCAATCCAAAAGCTCACAGCCCAGAGTGCTTGAGATAGAAACTCGGAGATACCGAACATTATCCCGGCAACCATTGCTGACTTGCGCCCATTCCTAATTGGAATCTCAAAGCCTGCGTTATATTTTCGCATGAAGACATCCTGCACACCCACGGATGTAACGGTATCAAAGTTATTCACTGCCTCGGACGCAATAGTACCCGCCTCTGCGTACATCTTCTCCGAATCAGCGTCAAAACCTGTCATCAGTTTCATTTGCAATGCACCACAAATAGCCATAATCGGGAAAACGCCCGTTACCACGAGGGCTACGCGCCACCACGCTTCATATGCTATAGCAAACCCAGTAAAAATTGTGCTCAAAGCGAACGACCCAATGTATCCCCAGTTACACCCTTCACCCTCGAGGCCTCAGTGGCAAGTCGTGTTGTGAGGGCGCCCACTGAGTTCTTCCTCTCATCGAAAAATCCCATGTCTCAAGATAGCTCTGAAACTTCTCCGCCTCAGTTTCAATGTCAGTCGCTCTCCACTAATTCCCAATCCAGACGACTGACAGAAGTAGCCGAAGAAAGAACCACCCCCAATCGCAACGAAGTAGAGACACCACTTCCGAATCTCCCCTGGAGTGTTATCTGCCGGTGGCATTATGACAAAAATGACCTGGAGTTTGGACAGTACGAAGTGTAACGTAACCACATGCAGTAGACATAAACACGGTTAGCAACAAGAACAATGGAACTTCGCAAAAACAGACGAGACGAGAATCAGGATAACCCAAAGCACGCCGAGAACAAATCATTATCCGTTCGATCTTACCCTTGAGAAGACAATAGACATGACTGGAAAGGCGGAACCGGCAACCGCCGCTCCAACGACTCCGATCAAGATCCAATACCACTCAGCTGGCCGACCCCTCCCGTTGCCAAAAGGTACTGTTTAGATATTTATCATACTTTTCGTGCACCCCGGACCTATGTACGCAAAACCGGGTCATCCGTTAAATTGGTGTGCGCTAAAACGGGGCACCCCCTGTACTGGGGAATGGGGTACAGAGCTACAGTTGTGGGCTGAAAGACGGTGTGCGTCCCCCTCTCTCCCCCCCCCCCCCCCGCGTAAAGTAGATGTATGCTGTAAAAATTGGCGACATACAATTGAAATCTGCAACATTCATTGACGTTTTTTATATTATTATAAAGGTGACCGACGCCGTCGCTGGTGTCCGACGCCTCTCCCACGAAAATGCAAAATTCGCGCCCCACCCCGTGACGCCCGTTGCGCCGTGAGCCTATGACTCACGCTCGTGCTGTCAACACGTGCGCGTCACACCGCACGACTCCGCGTCCACAGCCGGCCCCTCCCAGCGCTGCAGAGTCGCGCCCCACCCCGTGACGCCCGCTGCACCGTGAGTCTATGGCACGCGCTCGCGCCGTCGACACGCGCGCGTCACACCGTACGACTCCGCGTTCACAGCCGGCCCCTCCCAGCGCTGCAGAGTCGCGCCCCACTCCGTGACGCCCGCTGCACCGTGAGTCTATGGCACGCGCTCGCGCCGTCGACACGCGCGCGTCACACCGCACGACTCCGCGTCCACAGCTGGCCCCTCCCAGCGCTGTAGAGCCGAGCCCTTCCTCGCGGCCGCTGCGCCCCCCACCTCCCCCATACGGTTGTTTTCAAATAATTTGCATATCCGAGCTATTTTGGCGTTGTCCAAAATGTAGGGCAACCCCCCTTCAGTTGTTCAATTATTCGAAGTCTGGCAAGATGAGAGACGCGTCAGCGATTTTTTGTACCTAGCCGTCGAAACCTCCCCCACGGAGCACTGGGAGGCTTTTGGCCTTATGATCGGTATGTATACATGATATGTATGCAACTGTACCAGTATCGTTCTATCGTTCTTCTCGTCTTTGTCCAAGTTTTTCCATCACTCCTGTGACGTTGAAATCTCGCATCCGCTCTTGCAATGACCTTCAAACATTCAAGCCAACATGCCAATGAGTCGCCCGTGACACTCTTCAGACACTCTTCTCCCACGTCCGTCCCTCTTCCACCCTTTCCTTTCTCCCTCGTCCCTCGATACAGCGTCCCGCTCGCTGCCCGCACACATGCCTTACGAATGATAGGTTGCCCATGTCCCATTCGCGATGCTCTATGCAGGTGGCGTGAACGCCACCTGTTCAGGTCGAACCCTTCCATCTCGCTCGTACTGTAGCGCGGCGACAGCCGCATCTGCACTCTCGCTTCAAACTCTACCGACACCACCCGTTTCGCACACTTCGAAACACGCAAAAAAAATTTACTGATCGACAAACACACGATGAGCACGCATTACAAACAACTAAAGCCTTTTCCTCCAACCTTGGTCCCACGTCTCACTCCCTTCCGCCAAGCAGAGCTGTAGCAAACCCCCTCATCACTTCTATCGTATCACGACCGTAGTCCCTCAGCCCCGCAATCTCCCGGCACGCCTGTGACACCGCATCTCCAATGTTCCCGTCGGCGAGTAGTTGAAACTGCACCTCGTTCAGGCGGTGCAGCATCAGTTCCTGTGATGCAATTCGTCCAGCGATGCTCTGTAGACACCGCTGCAACCCCGCTGCCATCGGCTCCGACGCCGACGGTAGGGGAGATGGCGCATCCGTCATGTGCGAAGCACCCTCCATCCCGCAAGCGATTGCCGCCAGCACTTCGTCGCTCTCCGTGCTCATCGACAATGGGAGTGCTGGTGAACACACTTGGTCTTCATATCTATCGCCCAGCGTGCCCTCATGCTCACCCTGCATCTCCTGCGTCCTCATCACATTCGCGTGCAACGTCATCGATCCAAATAGATGTGATACTCCATTTTCGTTGCCCTGCAGGTTTCCACCTTCGCGTCCAGTGATGTGGCCATCGGGAGCGTAGCCTCCTGCCACCGGCCAAGGGACGCATTTGTTCTGGGCTTCCCAGCCGACCGCTGCGGCGAGCTCCTCTTGTATTGGCTCCACATATACCCGCTCCTGGTGCTGCGCGGTGACCGGCAAATACTCTACCGGGATGCTGTGATCCTTGACAGTGTAAGCTTCATATGAAGTGTCCGAGGCTGGAGATTGCTCTTCCGGGGAACCGTATGGAGGCTGGTACTGTGCTTCCCAATGCGCGGGAGGCTGGTGCTGCGCTATGCTATACGCAGTCTGCTCCACTGTCGCGCATTGCTCCTCCTTAATGACGTAGTGTACACGCCCAGCAGCCTGCGAGACTCGGGCCGGCTGCTCCTGAAGCGCCGGTGTGTTTTGATTCGGTTGTTGGTCGTTTCCATGGTGAACAAAGCGGCCAGGCTGTTTCGTATTGTTGGCAACTGGCACATCTTGTCGGTGTTGCTGCAGCGCAACAGCCTTCTTGACCGTCTTTTTCTGCGCAACTGCCTTGCGTTCATTCGATTTGACCTTGGCGTTGGGCCCCTTCTTCCCGCGCTTCTTGGAAATACCCCCTTCGAGGGCGGCGCGGATGTTTTTGGAGCGGCGCAAGCCGCACGCGTTGCAAAGCGTTGCAACGCCGCCCGATCCGCTACGGCGGACGGGGGTGATGATGGTTTTGCACCTGGCACAAGTCCAAGGGGTTCCATCGGGTAGAAAGCGAATGATCCCCTTGGGCTTGCGCTTGGAGCGGCCCTTGCAAGCAGGTGGGGGGGTAAGAGGTCTGGTAGCGGGAGGAGTGAGGCGAGCAACGGAAGCGTCGAGGGAGTTTGGGGGAGGCTCTGTAGGGCAACTGATAGGGAAGAACGGTGTTTGGGGGGAGGCGGTGGGAAACATGTTGGAGAGTTGGTGGTATCGTAGAACGAAAAAAAAAGAGTCAAGATGAGATGATGAGCGTCGGGATAATGGGTGAGGAGGGGAGAGGAACGAAAGCTAGTACGGCGGGGTTGGCTGTTTATAAAGAGCGGGGCTATGGACGACGGTGTGGGTGGGGGAAAG